ATGGGGGAGCAGAAGGATAAAAACTACAAAAACTCATGGGTTGAGATAAAGACAGTTTAATAGAGAAAGCAAAAGCTGCACACACAAGCATAGCAAAACAAGGAATTAATTCACTGCTTCCCAAAGACAGGAGGTGTTTAGCCATCTCCAGGAGAGCAGGGCCCATCACGCGTAATGGTTCCTTGGGAAGACAAACACCATCACTCCAGATGTCCCCCCTTCCTCCTTCTTCCTCCCACCTTATATACTGAGCATGATGTCCTATGGTATGGAATATCCCTTTGGTCAGTTTGGGTCACCTGTCCCAGCTGTGTCTCCTCCCAATCTCCCATGCACCCCCAACTTCCTTGCCAGTGTGGCAGTACAGAAAGCAGCAAAGGCCTTGGCTCTGTGTGAGCTCTGCTCAGCAATAACAAAAACATCTCTGCGTTATCAACTCTGTGTTCTGCACAAAACCCAAACACAGCCTCATACTAGCCTCTATGAAGAAAGTTAACTCTACTCCAGCTCAAACCAGCAGTTTTCTGAAAATTATCCCGAGATTTCAATAAGTAAGAAAATTCTTTTGATGTGGTTTATCATATAACTTAGCAGGGAGGGACTTCCATGTTACAGATGTGTAGAAGACAATACCAGATTATGAGGAAGAAATCACCACTTGTGATAGTCCCTTCTGCCTGTCCATATGGGTAAGGTTGGTTGCAGCACCTGTACTCTGCTCTCAGTGAGAACACAAGGACCTAGTGGAAGGATCAGTGTTATTCATTCTGACTCTTCTCCCCTCCAGAGAGGCACAAGGCGAGGGAGGAAAAAAAAGCAGCTGTTGGAACTGGAGATAGAAAAGATTGATCTATTTTTCTGCCACAAGAGGACTGTTCATCACAGTGTGCAGCCTGTGCAAAAGTAGATGCTGGAAAATAGAACAAGGGCCTGAGCTAAACAGAGATATCCTGGGAAGGAAAATAATAAACTTATAGGTAGAAAAAGGATGACCTAGCAGAGGAGATGAGTTGACTGTAAGAGATTTCCAAGGAAAACAGGTAGCAGAACAGAGGGAATAGGATACAGTAGGAAGCCAGACAAGAAGGCTGGAGGGCAGGGAGTAAGCATATGTTTATCTATCTGTCTGTCATCTCCTAACAACAGCATGTATAGGCACAGAAGATTATGTGTGAAATACAGACATGCCAAAACTATGACTTGTGCAACAGAAGCACGTTTGCAGTCCCTTTTGGTCTGGATTTATGTCTGTCCAGCTGACCCACACCCAGCCCTCAGAAAATGTGATTGATCAGTACTCAAAATGTACCTGTGTGCCTGTGGGGCAGGTAAGATAGAACAGAGTACCTTTAAAGATCTAGCCCAAACCAGTAAAGTGGCCCATGCAGAAAAAGAAGGCTAAATCTAATTGAATTAAGTGTTAATGAAGCACTGTGCCTTTCTTGGTGCTAACAGGTCCAGCGAGAAGGTCAAGCTCTACAGATACACATGTGATTTGCTGGAGAATGCACACAAGCCAAGGGAAAATAGATATGCTTATTTCAGGATGACAAGATAGCATTGTGACTGACATGAGGTATTTATCTAGGAAGGAGAGGATGAAAGTCTGTTTGTTTTTGGACAGTTTAAACAGTTTTAAAAATTGAGGCCACCATAGTTTGTTGTCAGAAGGGTGGGGGAGCAGAAATGAGGGAGACAAATGGCATGAAACTGTCACATTCTTGCACCAAAGTGAGGGAAATGAAAAATAATTTGACATGAATTTCTGTTTGGACTGGATAAGCCCATGCTTTCATGAGTCAAAAATAATAAATACAGTATTTCTAACATCATAAAATCCCCATTAAAAAAGTCCAGTAGCAGTAAGTTTTTGGAAGACAAGAAACAAATTACACCAGGTTTACACTGAGAAAGCTTTAAGCCTTCAACATGTCAGATATTTTGGGAATGATTTACCACCCTTTTCTCAAAATAAAATGTAAACTCAATGAGATGTAGACATAAAACAGGCCTCCCTGTTGAACTTTGACACAAGAATAATGAAACCATCCATAATCCACATCTGATTTGTTTGGGAATTTTTTTCTGTCTCTATTTAAACTCCTTCCAAGAAGGAAAAAAAAAAAAAAGTTCTTGCTTTGGAAAAGAGAGAAAAAAGGGCTAATTTTTAATAGATTTCATATCTTTTAAGAATCACTCATCTGGGTTTCTAGTTAACATCTTCAAGGCCTTCCTTAGGGATGCAACCCAAAAGCTGCTGACACCAGAGCGGAAAGATTCTGACTAACTTCAGTGGAGCTGAGATGTCTAAGCCAGACTCTTCATCTACTACAACACTTCACAGGCCACTGCCACCAAGAAGCAAACCTCCCAAGAGGCAGAAGCACGAGATTCTCAGTGGATTCTCCGAGCCTGAAGATCCCCTTGGCTCTGGTTACAGATGGGGAGAGGTTTTCTGATGTATTTGGAGCAGAGGACACTCTGCACTAAGCACTCTGTGGCAGTTGCTGAGCAGTGACTGCATCTCTCCCATGCTCTCCCTGCATCACACAGTGACACACTGACATACAGGCACCTTGGAAATGTGTGGGTTTCATCTGTAAACCCATAAAATAGTCATAGATCAAGTAACAGATTTTAACATCTTTTATGAGCTATTGCTTTTCCCCACACTATCTCTTGTCCACTTTATACTAATTTGTATTCAATACTGCTATCATGAAAGCTTCTCTAAAACATCCCAAGAGATCTATCATACCTTGCCTTTTTCCCCAGGTTTCTAAAATTAATTTAAATCAATTATTTAATATATTCAATCACTTTCTTTAAGCCATTTACTGCAGATATAGCCAGTTACTCAGCATAAAATACAGCCAGATCATTTCACCACAACCAAAAATGTGATTTATCATCACATTCAATTAGAACCCACTGAAGACAGTGGCAAAAGTCCCATTCAGCAGAATAAGGATCAAGCCTTTGCATTTACTGTGTCATGGGAATAAGGCAGGGTAATGGAGAAGGCTGAGATACATACGGGATTCCAATTTCAAACAGATTATTTTGAATCAGTTGTTTTCCAAGCATGATGATGCTCAGCTGAATACAGAGTTCCATCAAACAGCCACCTGGAGCACACTGCAATTAGACAAAACCATAGGGTGTGAAGGGATTAAGAGAATTCATTTAAAAGCACCCACTTGGGAGAGCTCCTGATGTCTCTATGTGCCCATTGTCCCTCCCATCAATTTGTGTGGGAGCATGGAGCTCATCGATCATTGTAATTCTATGCCTGACAAGGTGTTTCATCTCCACTCATAAAACTGCATTATGGAAAATCAGCAGAGCTCTGAAATAACTTGCTGTGCCCTGGGGCTGTGATATTTCCTTTAAAAATATTTACTATATAATCAATGTAATAAACATAATGCAGTATCACCAATACTCTTCCAACCTGATGTCTCCCAGGGGGGAAGAAAGTCTACAATCTTGCAAAGAATTATATGTAAGCTTTATTGTAAAACCTTGAGCACATCTATCAATTTTCAAGGGAATACTCACAGCAATTAAAGGGAATTTTGAAAAAAAATTTTATATACTTATCAGAAAATGGCTATGGTTTTTTAGGCTATTAAAATTGCCAAGCTTCTAGTGATCTGTAGGAGGAGAAGCCAGATTCAAAGTTCCCCAGGGCCTCAGTCAAATCATGTAATGTTTGTGCTTTAGTGCCCAGTTGTAAAGCATGAAAATGGTGAAGCTTCTCCTAAGAAAGACCATGAAATACTCAAAACTGCAGAGAGAGAAAATAGACAATTGCCTTAGAAAGAAAATTTGGGTTCTATTTATGCTGAAGATTTAACCTCCTGTTTTAATGTGTTTGGTTTTTTTTCCTTATTGTCTATACTCCACTGAACTACACTGTGGACATATTTTTTATGTTAAGGATTTTGTTGTTTGAATTTCATAGGTACTTACCTCTTCCATCCGATAACCCTCAAACACATATACATAACGACCAGGACGACCAACAAATCTGAAAGCAATAATATATGAGCTCAGGAAAATAAGCTAACTTTAACACCATAATTTTTTGATTCATATTAGCCAAAATATTTCAGAACTAGCTTCTTCCATGAATCTTAAAAGACTCAGCACCTATTCAACTTTGATTATTTAAAATTACTTCAAAGTATTAGGCCTCTATAAATGGTTTTCTAGTACATCATGATAAAATTATTTAAATAAAATATTTTTCTATGTTAAAACAAAATTATAATAAACTCCCTCTCTTGATTAGAGAACACAAATAAAAAGGGGAATACATATCCCAGCTCACATTCTCTTGCATCTAAGTAATGCTCTGAATGGAATTATTTACACATTATACACAACCAGTCCTCTTCTGAGTACACAGGGAGAAAAATTGAGATTGACTTTAATAAACCAATAGAAGACCAAAATATGGTCAAAAAAGAAAGAATTTGGTGATATTTTTCATTGGTGTCTCACAATATTTACAACTGCTGGCAAAATGTATCATTAATACTCAAATCAAAGATCCTGAATAGGATTAGTGAAGACTAAAGATTAACAAACTTTATAGCCCCCAAAAGGAACAAAAAAAATGGTATGAAACAGAATCCAGAGGATGTTTTAAACATTTTATGCCAAAGTTTTAACAAACAATCATTTTAAGCTTCCCATTCAAAAGCATATGGATGACTCTGTCCCAAAAGACAATGATCCTGAACCCATAGGAAGTCACACTTATTTAGCAGGACAGCTGAATTAGCTTTTTGGTCAATGAGTTCATTCACCAAAACATGCAACTTCCAGTTGACTGTAACTGTTTCTTAATTTAACTTGATAGAGGAGAATAGTGCAAAATGATGAGAAAGTCATAGAAAAAGTAGTTCTATAATCTTAAATGAAACAGGACAATTTTTCTTTGCTAAATGATGCCTCAAGAAAAATTTGCTAAAATGTGGAAAGTGAAGACCTGTGAGCACTACTATTCACTTATAAAAGCAACACTGTTTTTGAAGTAAAAGGAATTCTTTTCTGAGGTGGGGATTATGTTTATTTTTCGAAGAAAACTAAACTGGTTGTATTTCAGAACAGTGCTCAGAACAGTACTCAACATCATGCCCTGCCATTCAAAGGAAAGCTTTAGACAACCATTGTTATGATATTTTTTCAAAGCAGGTGAAGATGGCCATAGTTAGGTAACCCTTTGTGCCCATTTTTAAACACAGAACCACTAATAGACATACATAAAAATACATGTATATACAGAAACAAAAGATATTTCTCCTACCTTCCTTTAAAAAAGGCAACATAAAAGATTGGTGCATAAGAATTCACAAACTTCAGTAGGAATGCCTTCAAAATCAGCCTCTCCTCAAAGGTTTTCTCTGTTTTTGGTATTTCTTGGGAGGGGGAAAAAAAGCAAAACAAAACAAAGCAGAAAAAAAAGAAAGAAAGCAAACCAGAGAACTCAATTAGTGAATATGTAAAAAAACACCAAATCCCCAAATACACACGCAAAAAGCCACAAACCAAACTGCAAACTTTGAGCTTGTACTGATTTTTTTTTTTGTGCCTCTAATTTGTACCAAAACAAACTAGTTCTGTCTCTGAGTCCTGGTTTGTAGAAAGTCTTCTCAAATTTCCAGATGGAAACTGAAGACTCTTTGATAGAAACATTAATAATGACAACATAATGAGCTTGTTTCTCTGATAGGACTCTGACAGCTCATCCCAAATTGCTCTTGGCTGTATATCCAATAACCTTGTGGGAAAAAAAGTTTCCAAAATCTGGCCTGGACCTGACACTACCTCATTTTTCCAGTCTCTTTCATTGTCTTGTTGAGAGACCTGGGCAGACCACATCACCTTCCTCTGCTTCAGACCATGGATGTGAATTCTTAGCATAGACCTCCTCTGTCATTTACTCTGGCATTAAATATAATACTGTTAAATATATTTTCTTAACATAATGTATGTATTATTAACAACAGATAGAAACAATTACTATGTATTTACGTGGTTGTCCTCCTAGCTATCTGGAGTATGAGGAAAAGCAATAATTAGATTTTGATATTCAATTGCACAAAGCTAAAGCAGTATAAACTATTTTGATGTGTATGTTAGCATAAATATCAGTCACAGAACTGAAATATTGAAACACTAATATTCTCCGTTCATGAATGATCACAGCTAAGTGCAAAGACTTTCAACCAGAAAAATAGAACACCTTAAAAGCCTTCTAAACTTTGTGTACACAATTCTTCTTTTTTGTAATGAGATTGTTAATGTGCTTAATGCTAAGCACAAGACTAAATGCTTTTCTGAATAAGGCAGTAAGAGAATTGTTCAATGCTACGCAAAATAAATGCACATTTTACTAACACTTCTCCATTCACTATGCATCTTCTAGATTTCTAGATTTCTTTACATAACTTGCAAAAATATGGCTTAAACATTTTCAGTATTCATTACTCTGTTCCAATTTCTATGGAAATTTTCCAGCTGCAGAGCACATAGATGTCAGACTGAGGTTTTTTAAACTGAGAGTAGGATTCTCTTTTAAAGATTCTATATGGGTTAACTCCTGTATTCCCATGCTCATCCTGAGCTGTAACAATGTGAGAGCAGATAATTTTATAATTAAGTCTTCACTGAATTTCTGTGGCACAACAAAAGTGTGGAACATTGCAGTAGAACCAGAGCTCTAGCTTTAAGGACTTCATTAAAAATACTGCTCTACTTGTAGAGTTTTGTTTTGGGGCACAGTTTGTGTGTTTTGTTTGCTTTGTTGTTGTTGTCTTTCTTATTTAAAAAAAAGCAGCATGATGGGTTTTTTGAGCACTAAAGGAATTACAAAACCTACTGAGTTGCCACTGCCTGGCTTTATTTGTGATCCTTTTAACCATATTTTCACCTGATGAGCCCTAAGACATCATTCACCTATACATATAGAAAAGCTTAATTAAAACTTCAGAGGATTTGAACAATTTGTAGATGAGCCTATATGTTGAACAGAGCTACAGGAGAGCACTCAGGGGAACAGGAATATTGAATAACAGCAGTACAGCTTTTGATTTGAGAGAGAAAAATCCTAACCTTTGCCTTATGGAGAACCCCCACAAAGATGAGCTCAGCCTCTGGATGAACATTTGCACACCATATATGGTCCCAGAGGCTCACTCAGCACTTCACTCCCTCCCCACACACAGACATACTATACCATAGCCATAGAGGCATGCATAGAATTTGTCCTCTAGCTAGTCGAGTCTGCTACACAAGAAATGCATTTAGCCAGAATAGGTGCATTAGCAAGAGAGAAAACTATTCCCCCACAAAAACGATACACTTATAACATATGCTGGGTTGTGCAGAATGTTACACCCAAATTGGGCAGCTGAAACTTTCCAGGTGGAGAATGAGCTGAGCCAACTGTAGAATGGGCCTTAGCTCCCTGAAGGAGTTGCTGCCTTTGTAAGGGACAAACACAAGTAGTTTTAATTTTGTCCCCATTTGACTGGTTCTCCTCAGCCTCAGTGAATTCTTTACTGTGATGGTGATGAGACTCTGGCATAGGTTGCCCAGAGAAGCTGTGGCTGCACCATCCCTGGAAGTGTTCAGGGCCAGGTTGGATGGGACCCTGAAGAATCTGGTCTAGTGTAAGGTGTCGCTGCCCACAGCTGGGGGCTGGAGCTAGATGATCTCTGAGGTCCCTTCCAACCCAAACCATTCTGTGATTCTAAGTTACAAGTGAGCATGTGAGCTGTAGGCCTAGTCTGACACCACCTGCTAACTAAGGATATCTATTCAACCTGAGAATACCAGGATACAACTTGCACTTCAGCTAGTCTGATCTGCAGTAAGGCAGCACCAGTGTCCCACTTTGTTGAGCCCACAGGAGATGCACAGAGTCCTGGTCCATCCTGTATGAGCACTCTGTATTGACTACAACAAAACCACTACCTTTTTTCCTCCCTCCCAAGCATTGATTGAGCAGGTATTGAGGCAAATCCATTACTTTGATCCTATGATGCTATCAGTGCTACTACGCTTGTGCTTCCAGATGCAATGTTTCACTTGATCAAAGATTCAAGTGCACTAGGGATTGTAACTATGGTGTCAGGAGCTATTTCTCCAGCCCAACAGTTGTTTCTCAGATTGTCAATTAACTTCAGTGTGAAAAGAGAATTGAGTATGTTCTGCTCTGCTCAGCAAAATGAAAGTTCACAAGTTAAGGAGCATTTATCAGCATGCATGAATTGTAATTTTTTAAAGCATTTTGATTACATTTAGCATCTGAGCCTAGCACTGGAGAAAGCTGCCTGAATGAACTTTCTAACTCATGTAATTTGTAGCACTAGAGATTATTCTGACTGGATCCTTCTTAAACAAAACATCTGATGGTTGATTAGGAATGCTGCCTAAACAAAGATAGCAGGATTAGAATTAAATGCAAAATGACAGGGGAACAATAATCAACAAGTAAGAAATTCTTGTTTCTTTCAGAGTTCAGACTAGTGCATGTTTCAAAGGGAGAGATTTTCCTTCTGTGTTTTCCATAGAGAGGCAATGGTACTGGTTTGCAGTGGGTTCCCAAATTTTGCCTGGAAACTGCCAGAAAAGAGAAGGCTCACCTTCCTCTCTTCCTACTCTTTCCACACAGCAGTGTCATGCCTTAGCACTTGTGCCCTCTCTTACCTGGGAAGGTGCAGTGGACAAAATTGATCAGGTCATGCACAGTTAGCAGCTTGTCACTTATGTGGAAGCTGAAAATCTGGGTACGATTTACAGTAAGCCTGAGCTTCCTTGTGCCACTAGAATAGAGTTCATTTGTGTAAAACTGTTACATTTGGCCCCAAAAAAAACCCAAAAAAAACCAAAAAACAAAAAAAAAAAAACCAGAAAAAAAAAAAACCTAAACCAAAGAACAGACAAATTAACCCTGTACAGTGGCATTTTGTGCAAATGAATTGCTTTGTCTTCATCTCTTTCAAATACTTTACAAATTCAACCTAAACTAACAGGCTAACTTCATTGGTAAAACCACAGGACCATATTTCAAAAATTCAGGATTGGACCTCTATTCTGACAGCTACAAAACCATAGTTTATAATGTTCTTCAAAAAACAGGACTAATAGAGATACTTTCATTTGTGCCTTTAAAAGCATCCTGAGAAACTGAGAATAAGAAACACAAGTCTTAAGAGTTTTTGAAGGTTTTAATCTGGAGTCTGCTACTTCCAGCCAGGTTCACATCACTACAGGTTTTGCAGAGAGGGAATCTGCAGTTTGAAATTACAGAATCAAGCACCAATTACCCTAAAGTTTCTAGTTCGAATGCCTAAGTTTAGATGCTCAAAATTGACAGGTAGAGCACTTGCTACAGTTAAAGGCATTTGTGGCTGCTGATTGATTTTCAGTGTTTGAATCACTGACTTTTTATTCCTAGACTTTTAAGCATCTAGAATTAGAAGTGATGCATAAAAATGTGGGGAAAAATTACAGCTATAAGAATCTCATGTTAAGACCCTAACAGTAAACATCTTTGATCTAATTTATACAACAAAACAAAATCCCAGTCTCAACCTCTATTAGGAAATATCTTCAGCCTAATGTATATAGCAAGACAATACTCTAGCCCAAACCTCTCTCATAGTCAAAGGAATTACTTGCCTTTAAAAGACTTACAAACATTGCCAGGCTTGTAACAATACCACAACATTATTTAAAAAAGATTAAAAAGTCCCACCTCTAACTGAAATAGGTATTATTATTAAAAAGTCCAGCATAGACATAACATTAAATGGAGGGGTTGGGGGGGGCAGGAAGGCATTGAAGTGGGAAGGAAATGGTTAAAAATATTTTTCTGATTTCAGAAAAATAACATGGTAAACACTTGCCAGTGCAGCTTCGCCAGAGCCACCAACATCTTTGAAACAACCCAATGACTTTCAGTAAACCCAACTCCTAGACATATAAAGATGTATATTCAAAATACATACCAGGGCAAAAATACTCAACCAGCTCTGGATAAATGGATTTTGGCACAGAGCCAGTGCAGAGCAGAAATACCAGCTGAGATCCTGGAAACAGCCCTGCTCCATCAACATGGCATTATGGCCAGGCTCATTAACCCTACCAGTGGCACTCTGCATGCTGCAGTTTTGACCCCCTGAACACAGACATGTCTGAGTATTTTCACTGGCACTCACGAGCAGGAAATATTCCTATTAGAACCTCCTTGCATACCCTCGTGTCAATACTTGCAATATACTAATGAGGAATGTGGTGAGATAGTTTTACCGATTTCTGTCAGCCATTTGGCAACAGCTCCATAAATTTCATCAAGTATAAGTATCACAACGAGGTTAATGATGACAGCAGTTGCAGTCACAGTCACTCGAACATTTGACCTGGTTGTCTCATTTGTGCTGAATGACAAAGCTGCTGCCGTAGTAATTCGGTATACAATCACACCAAACACTGCTGAAAACGTCAGCATAATCTGCAAAGAAATGTACAGATAGGTTAGTTCAAGTGTGTTACTGGCATTTAAACAGAAGTTTTGACTGATATGTTGAGTTTGCTCCACGACTTGACATTGTGTGGTCATTTCTTAGAGAGACACAGTAATATGCAGGTAATCAATGAGAACTGAAAACACTCTAATAACCAGGGACATAAATAAGAAAATGGATGCAGAACTTGGGTAGTTTGGGTTCAAATGAAAGGATTAAGTAAGGCTTTTTACCTCCCATTCAGATGGCTTGGACTGAAAGGCCTATAAGTATGTGCTGTCAAGCAAACAGACTTTACTGGCTGAAACAGCTTCACGTCTGCACAGTGGAAGTGGTAACTTAGAAATATTTTAAAACAGAGTTTTCTCTGTTCTTATTCTTTTAAGACTGATCTAAGCAGGGTTACTATGGCTTCAGCTTACATTTGTCCCAGAAGTCAGTTGGTATCCCTGGCATCCTTCATGGGCTGGATTTGACCCATGAGATGAGGAAAGTCAGCCCTGCTACTTAAGGTCAAGTTCCCATAAGAAGAACTTGAATTTCATGAGGCTATGTTATTCTGGTTTCAAAAAAATCAAAACCACCTCACAATGAAATCAATAAAATCACAATTAAAAATAGCAAATTTACACAGACACAGCAGAAAAGGGAGAGAGGTTACATTTTTCTCTTTCATTTTTGCCTTTGGCAGGAATTCCAGTGTACATTCATTATTTTAGGTAAAATATCTTGAGATGCCCAGATGAAAGAGATTACCTAAATGTGAAAGATTAGACTATTGCAATTATTTCAATGGGCCTAGGGGCCCAGATTCACAACATGGGTTTAAGGAAATGTAACTGTTCATTTTAATGATGCAGCAGAAGTTTACTGAATTCCTGTATACAGAGGAAGGTTGTTGCATGAAAAACAACTCTTGCAAAAGAACCAGGACAAGAATCAGAGCTATATTAAAGGTTGGAGATGAGAACTGGATACATTTTCCTTTAATGGAGAACTAACACACATACTAAAGAAATAATGATTTGGAGAAATTCCTGGAAATTTCACCTGAAATTAACAAACACGTTTAAACAGAAAATAGTAATGAAATGTTAGATCTAGTAAAAGATCTGCATTTTATTTTTAAAAGAACTGTCTCATAAATTTTAAATGAAATGTAGGAGAATGATGAGTTTTTGCTTCATGCTAATATTTTTCATTCAAATAATGGCATAAAGAGAAAAGTCTGAACATAAAACAGTTTTGATGAAAACTTTTCAAATGGCATAAAATATTAGTTCCTTTTGTTTTATGGGTTTCATTGAGTTGAGAAAACATTTCTAAATTTTTATAGCTATTGTTTTTCTTTTGACTTACCTACCAAACTTATGACAGAAATCTGATTCATGCTGAACTACCTGCTCAGCTCTTGCTATGACAGAAATGGTGCAGGAACACAAAGACTATAATTTTTTTCTTACTTGCCCATTGCAATCGGTACAATAGAGAGTAATATCCCCAATAAAGAGAGAAAACAAAGCAGCACCACCTGGCATTAATCTAATTCAGCTTCCACCTCTACAGTCACCTGAAGTTCTTTTTTTTCTTTTAGTTTGTGTCAAAGATTCCTCTTTCTTAATCACCTTGTAATACTCTTTTCCTGTTTCTTTTCCCTGTGGATTTCTTTGAATATTTTTACTAAGGTGGTAGACAAAGAAAAACAGCAAAGTAAACTTGGATGCATCATTCTGGAGATGATGAGCTCTCTGGGCCTCCACAGACACCTCTCCTCATCACAAGTTTCCATATAGGAATGATATCTTAACAGCACAGGAAAAAGAGTCAAGGACAGACATCACTATGTAGAGAAAGAGGAAATTTCAGATCATGGAAGCAGAATAGCAAACTCTTAAACCTGACCAGAGGATTTTAGGGAGCCATAGCATTGAGGAAGATTCCTGGAGGATGAGATGCTATCAGAGACATACCACAGCAACGTATACAAAGTTACCAAAAAAATATGTTTTATTTGTTTAAAGAATTTGCCTTGCAAAAGCACCAGGGCTTCAGAAACTCTCAGTTGCCCAGCTGTTTTTAAACATCTGCTTAGACACAGATGGAAAAACACTCCTTTAGGAGTCTTCATTATCTGCATCCAGCAACAAAAGAAAATTGAGGAGGGCTTGTAGGATTGCACAGTGACTGAGAGCATAGTTCTCACTCCCCAGATGGCCACTGAGAGGGAATGGTTCCTGTATCTTCACAGCATTTCTCTCATTCCTGAACATACTTCTTTTGCCCAAATTCCAGAACAAGAGGTCACCTTTTGTTCAGGTGCCCACTTGGGTTTTGTTGTCATTGCCAACATTTCATCTGGCCAGTTCTCCCCCCTCCTGTGGCAGACAGTTTCTTCACTAAATATCTAAACTAGTCCGTCAAGGACTGAATTGCTTAGAAACAGATGTGAAAATTGGCTGCAGAAAAGGTCACCTACTGAGCCTGGTATGAATGAAGACAAACAGGAAAGCATACTAGATCTGAGAAGGAAGCTATAAAACCCCGTGGGCTAGACTGCTACCTTCATCCAAGTAGGATAACAATTTAGTGTCCAAAGAGATCTTTGGCTCCTCAGCAGGGCTCTTCTAGAGTCAAGTATTACACCATGTGAGTAAGAAAAGGGTCCAAAAGGCAGATCAGGCTGAACTCCTGCGCCCTGTCACTAATCACTTTTCTTCCTTCCTCTGGCTGAGCCAAGTGCAATGAACACAAAGAAAGGCTTCAGTGAGGGCATTGCCCCATGCCATCCTGCTCTCCTCCAACAGCTACCAACATTTTCATCACATACTCAGAAATCTTTGCCACAACACGGACCTTCTAAATGTGGACTTTATAAACTGGGACATATGTTACTGTTAATCCCACTCAAGCAAAACTTGTAGATGTTCAGCTGAGCCTAGATCTCCTGCTACCACTGATCTAGGCAAAAAAAAGATGTGTGAACTTCAGTTTTAAAATCCCTGCAAAATCAAGGTAGGATCTTCTGCCCTCTCTGCAGTCCAGTGAGGCTTTCTGTACAACAAAAGAACCGTGACCAGATTTTAAAGTATCCATAAAGGTGTAAAATAATCCTTGGAGTTATTTGGTGATGCAAAACAAGACCAATTAGCCAAGAGAAACAAACCCCACAGATTTTTCAATCTGCACTTTTAACAAAGTAAACAGCAAATCTAGCTTAATACAGACAGAGTAAAAGCCAAAAACAAAGAAAAAAATCCCAAAACAACAACAGAGTCCTTGAAAGAGGATTCACAAAAGTGGAGTACACAGAAGTACAGAAATTAAGGAGAAAAAAAAAGAGGAAAGGTTTTATGATAAGAAAACCATTAGCAGCTTCAAGAGTCATCGGGGAAAGTAAGGGATGTAAAGCTGGGGGAAGATGAGGCACAACAGAACAGCATCATTTTATAGCATTGTAGACATCTTCATGTAAAACACCTAAGGATTTGGGACACCAAATTTGAGCCTGGAAGAGGTAGTATTAAATATTCAACAATCACTTCTGCAGCTCTAGAAATTGCATTGCATGTGTGTGCCTGTCCGTGTCTGAGTCTTCTCTGTGCTCTGTATGTGTGCACACAAACATAAATTCAAGATTTCATCACGTATTTTGTATTTAGTGCTTACAGCTGAAAGAATTGGTCTGTGTGAATAATAATAACAGAAGTAGATGGGACTAATTTAGTTTCCTCAGTACAATCCTTTTGCACAGACTGACAACAAACTTCAGTTTGATGTTTCCAATTCCTGTTTAACTAATCTAGCATTAAAAAAAGGAAGCATCACATACAGTAGAAAGCAGATTGTAAACTCTACATAGGAAAGTAGAGCTGGCTCTCCCTCATCAAAAGCTGGCTTGAATTTCATCCATGGTTTGTAAATTATCTCCTGTAGGTGCTTACATATTAATAATGTTCAAAATATTAAAAAAATAATCATCATGGACCACTTTGCCAAATGGTGAAAGTCAGCCTAGTTCCACGAGTCACTAACAGAAGGTGGAGAATTGGAGCTCTACACTTTACATGTCACAAACTGTAGGTTATAACCCTTTATAAATCTCTTTGAGATGTTACAGTAAGCAGGGAGTGTAATACTTAGGCTATGACTCAGGAAAGCAGTTTGAGCTCATGCTTAGGGGAGATTTAAATGTGGTTAAAGTCAAGGGCACATGTAAGCACCTTGTCTGCAAAAGAATGACTTGTAAAAGCTGAATCAGGGCTATATGTTTAGTCATATTGGTATACTCTGCTATAAGCAAAGTCCTGAGTGATGCCAGTTAGAGATTCTGTCTAAAAAGCAAGTGCTTGGTATGACCTCAGGATGGTAAACTCACTCAAAATGTTGCAAGTACATACATATATATATATATACAAACAACATACCTAACAGGTATAGAAAATATACTCAATCTACAACACATATATTATCATAAATATATATATGTATTTATAAACATGTAGACATTAAGTTGACTTCCATGTAAGCATCAATTATTTTTGATTGTCAGCAAGAGAAATCAAATCTTCACAGGATATCTGTTGCATTATATGCATTTTGGAGTAGATTAGAAATACACTTAGGTATTTTCAAATAATTTAGGCCCCAAGTAAATTTCTTATGTTAGATGCTCCAGTGCTGCAAACAGGCATATGTCATTGCCATTTAATACTGGCTGTAGATGTGAAAACATGCTTTCAGTCAGTAAGTACTGTAACCAGAGGGATAATGAGATCCTTTACAATGCAATTTAGGGTTGTTAGCCAGGCTTTCCTACTGCTGTTTACAAAGTCCAGCAGCTTGATGATGTGCTTATGGTCTGCTGGAAATTTCACCAGGACAGTGGTGTCCACGCTTTGCAGCTGGCTGACCTACACACCTTATTCTTGTTCTCAGGTGAGGATTGTGTCTTCTCATGATCTTCCTCAACTACACTATAGTTCAACCCTGAATGTGTCTTGGACAAATACCTCTTGGTAACTGATTTATTCCACCTGTATGTCACCTGTTCAGTAGACTCAACACTTCACTATAGTTCATCCCTGAATGTGTCTTGGACAAATACTTCTTGGTAACTGATTTATTTCACCTGTACGTCACCTGTTCAGTAGACTCAACACTTCTGAACATCACTATGACTGAGTATAGGCAATACTGTGCACACAGAGGGCTTCCCTTCACTGGCAAACAGAGGATGGAGCAGAAACTCTGTGGGATACACAGTGTTTAGTACTGAGCTGTTAGCATTGCAGCCAGCCAACAGCCCTTTTATAAGCCACCTTTGGAAAGGTGGCTTTGAGAATACCAAGTCAAGATTCCACTCAAGATGCTCATAGCAATGTTTTTCACACCTAATGAATGTGCAAATTATGTTACCATAAATAAAATCAATCCAAAGTTTGCTGCATATCCAGGCATACGGTCACTCCACGTCAGCTTCTCCTTTTCATCCTGCAGTCAGAACACACAGGCAAAGTAACAGGCATTATCACAGAACTGTACAACAGCAAATATTAGAGTTATTAAGAAAAAAAATCCCCACTCTCAATTCCCCTGCTGTGATTTTGAAGAAGATTGTACAATTTAGAACATTGATATTTTAAAGCAGATTTTAATTTGAGAGAAAAGACAGTAAGAGGGTAAATAAAACACAGAAACTTTCTGCAAAAATTGGAAAATATCCTATCTAACTGCAATTTTAATATTTGAAAAATATTTCAGCTCTTTCTTAATTTCATAATATTAGGAGAAAGCCCTGAGATTCACCTTAATTCACATTTAAGCAAAGCAAAGTTCAACCACTGATTTTGAATAACTTGTAAAACTTCAGAAGATTAGTGCTCGAAACAGAAATCATGATAAGAGTGTTGACTACCATTGAACCCAGTTTTTTGTCTACTGGTTACATGAGCCAAATATAATTCAAGCAATTCCTGTAAGACACCTCTACCCTTCTTCTGGTACTTGTTCTATAGCAGAGGGAAACTACAAAAGGAAGCCCCTCTGTGATCTCTGCTGCCAGCCTTGTTTTTGTCATGTGTAAACAACATCTCCCTCTTCATTGCATAATTTAAAGCAACTGGGATCAGTGAAATCTAGTATGTTTTTACTCTCCCCACACAAACTCAACTCCATCTCCAGTCACATGTACATCTAAAGAAGACATTTGAAGAAGGATTTATATAAGAAATATGATTCCCTTCTCTTAAAATAGGGTTCTTAAGATAATAATAAGGTCACTACTTTGTTTAAGTTAAACTAAAACTATATAATCAAATTAACTAAGGACACAAAGCCAGCTGCTGTTTGTATTTCTGTGAACCACCGTTGCTATCCCATGAACTAGTACTACACTTACCCTGGAGTTAGCCCAGAGTCATTCTGAATTTAAATGAATTTAAATCAGATTAGAATTCAGGTCAAAGGTTTCAAATAAACCGTTTCTAAGCACAATTGTCCTCAGCTAAACATAAAAATCTGGGAGTATTATGCCTTTGTGCAAAGCTTTCCCAAAGTAGCACTAGGAGACAGTATAGGCTCCAAGTGCAGAAATGCAGCCATGAATTTTTCTCATGGAGTTTACTGGGATGTGGAATTAGACCTAAGATGTGATCCTGTCTACACATCCATTGTCATTGTGATGGTGTCTCAAGTACTGTAGGAAGGAGCATTACTCAGCATCCCTTCTCCTCAGCTCAGCTGTTCAAACAGACAAACTGAGCCTGTCTCCTTCGGGAGAGTGCTGGCAGGACTGGGGCAGAGTAAACTCAAGCAGAAGCACAAATAATTTGGCCCAATGTATGCAGTATATAAATACTCCATACAGTACATAAAAGGAGTCCACCACTTAGCTGAGAAGCTACTTGAAAAAGCATTTCTGTGAACACACAGATGCATTTCATTTCATTTTGGCTTTTACCATTCAGCAATTATACAGGATGTAAAGAAGTTCTAAGTGATTATACTCCAAGAAAGTCTGAAGGACACCATGTCTTACAATTTCACTAGGAGAAAAACACTAAAGAAGCAAATCAGCAGATTGAGCTAATGTTAGCCAAAGCAGTTGAAGGAAAAAAAGAAAGTATTATACAACCATACCAAACTGGAAAGAGAAAAATGTGATTTATAAAAAAGGGCCAGGAAGAAGCAAGAATGACTAAGAAAATTACTACAATGTCTCTAGCAGTAAGAATTTTTGAAAACAAGAAATCATAGCATCAAGATAAAACTTTCACGTATGAATCATGGTTACCAAATCCTGAGTGGCAAAGTATCTAAGATTTTTCATGTTTTGGGTTTTTTTGCTCAATCACAGGCTCTCCGGGGTCTGCAGTTTCTTCAGGAAATACCCATCTGCTGCAGCTGAGGTCCTCTACAAGCTTCAGTGTGTTTATCAGCTCCAGCATGGCCCTGTCAATGGCTTGCAGGGAAATCTCTGCTTGACCACTTCCTCCTGCTCTCACCTCGGTGCTTGCAGGGCTGTATGTCACACTTTTCTCCCTGTCTCCTTGCTGCCAGGCAGCTTTTTACCCCTTTTTATACCCAATATTCCCAGACGTGCCACGATCCTGTGATGGAGCTCAGCTGTGCCCTGCAGCAGATCCATTGGAGCAGCCCCAGCCTCTCTTCCCTGTAGTCAGCACTGCCAGCACCTGGGCACCAGCACCAGGTACATCTATGGTGATGGTGCAAGGGCATGAGGAAAACCACATCTGCTTTTGAACACTGAACAGGACAATGCAAGCTGAACAGAGTTCAGAGCAATGACAGACACTCTGGCAGTGCTTTGTCAGTCTCTTCTTGCAATGAATGACAAAAGGGGGAAATTAGGAAGAGGAGAGAGGAGATGGTGTACATGGGAAAGGGATAAAGGAAGGAAGAGAAGATCAGTGTGCTGATTTTGGCTGTGGTAGAGGTAATTTTCCTCACAGTAGCTAGTACAGGGCTGTGTTTTGGGTTTATGCTGAACACAGTGTTGATAATATAGAGATGGTTTTGTTATTGCTGAGCAGAGCTTACAGAGCCAAAGCTTTTTCTGCTTTTCCTACTGCCACGCTGGCAAGGGAACTTGGGAGGAGACACAGAAAGGACAGGTGACCCAAACTGACTAAAAGGATATTCCATACCATGTGACTTCATGCTCAGTATCTAAAGTGGGGGGAAGAAGAAGGGTGAGAGGTTTGGAGCGATGGCATTTGCCTTCCCAAGTCACCGTTCCTTGTGCTGGGGCCCTGCTCTCCTGGAGGTGCTGAACATCTACCTCCCCGTGGGAAACAGTGAATTAATTCCTTTTATTGCTTTGCTTGTGTGTGTGGCTTTTGCTTTTCCTATTAAACTGTCCTTATCTCCAGCCATGAGTTCTCTGGCTTTTACCCTTCTGATTATCTCCCTGATCCTGCTGGTGGGGGACTGAGTGAGCAGCATTGTGGTACTTGGTCACTGGCTGGGGTTAAACCAGGACAGTCAGCATGCCATCTAATCAGCTTTCTCTTTCATGCATGTGCTTCCTATAACCTTAGGTGACTTTGCCACGAGTTTGCCATTCTCTGTGGTACTTAGCCAAAGGGACATCTGAACAACACGCTGAGTTGCTATGCCAATATGAGAAGACAGAAAAAGCTGGATGAAAATATGAGTGAGTTACTTAGCATACATGGCAAAACCCCGAAAATTTGAAATTTAACTTCATAGAGTGGAAAGTTACCTTCTGTTATGTCTCTTGCTAAGAAAACCAAATCTGTGAATTCATTTGGTATTTCCCATCACGACAGATCCTACTCTCTGGCAATAGTGCCATCTAGCCGCTAACAGACTGTACTGAGAGGTGTCAGCAACACCTGGTCTGCGACCACAGCACTACACTTGCACACTGAAGCAAGTGTGGTTTGTTCACTTAGTGGAATTCACACACAGATTTCTCATAGGACACGGCCCATTCCCAGTTCTAATCAATAACATGCAGTACAGAACCTCGTCTAGATTTTAGCCAGAGGTAGGAAAGCTTTCCTGAAGGTTGATGAAAACTCATCCAAGCAGGCAGGGAATGTATGTGGAGCACCCCAAGAGATGTAAGCATTGATTGTCATAGCAAGATGAAACAGATCATCTGAAGAACAATCTCCATGAGAGATATGTTACACTGGGGAACATTCCCCAAAAGGAGCTGTATTACAGGGAAATATTTATATGCAAGTAGATAACCTCACAATAGGAATTATAGTTTTTTTGTGGCAAAGACAAACTAAAATATATTGTTTAATATATTTCTCTTGGATTCTTCGAATACAGTGATGGAGTTGCAACGGTATTGGAAAGTTGGTTTTCTAGGTGTAGTGCTGTGTTCCCAGTTTAATGTTTAATGGGGTGTTGAATGTGTTCCTTGGAGAGACACTTCTTTTTTTCCCATTAGGAAAAAAAAAAATCAGAGAAAGATAAAGAATAAAATTAGGCACCATCTAGATTTTTCTGGATGATTTTCTCCTAAGAGGTACTTAACATGCCAAAGATCCAGCTTGTGCAGCTCTTTGTCCTCACATGGGCCTCTTAGCTGTGGAAACCTGGAAATATAGTGCACTTGGACAGCATCAGACAGTTTTGTGAAACAGTTCTATGCTTCTCTGTGAATTAAACCACAATCAGTTTGCTCAGACCCCAAGTATTTCAGTTATTTACTTATACTTTCCCACATGAGAACACCTCCTCAAAGCAGGTGTTTCTAACCATCACCCATGCCAGCTCAACCTGCACTTGGGGAGTAAAGCAAGAGACCTTCTCTCTTCTTCATCCTGCTTTGTAACTCCAGTGCTGAAATTCAGCCTCTTCAGTGTGGTTGCACCTGAGCAATCCCAGTGGTTTTACTGGACTTACACAGAGCTGCAATAATTGACTGGAACTTAGAAAAAGATGCTCAGAGAATAACAGAATCCAGGACTCCTCCCTCTCAGCTTCCTAAGGTCTTGCAAATTTAGCAACAGCAAAAAGCTGCAAAGTTATATTTCTGGTGACAAAATCTGGAAGTTCATCTCCAGGTATGCCCAGGAAGCATCAAACAAGTAAATGTCATATTTACTTTTCTTAGTAGGTCTCTACTTTAATTTCTGCTTTAATACAAAAGCTTTAATTTTATAAAAACTGTGTTGTCTAAATGAGCATCTAGAAGTAATAATTGTGGTATCAAATAATGTATGTGTGACACCCAAAACATTTCTGTGCATTGCAGGCTCAAGACAAGGAATGAAGGGACTCAAACTTATTGAGGGCTTGTATTAGTCCTCAAAATTTTGAGAGGGTAGACAAAACTGCTGCCACACTGGGCATCTTCCAATGTCTGTGTCTATCCCAGTCTGAATTCGTCCCTAGCAGTTCTACCTTCACAGTCCCACAGAAGATGAAAGAAAGAGAAGAAAGAGCTTTTTGTTTAAGACACATTGAAAAAGAGAACATTTTCTACTCTTCTTACTCACAGAGCAAGGACATTTTAACAGTAAAGATGGTCGTGTTTTGTGAGCAATGTTTGGTTTCAGGATTGCATATGGAAAACAAACTGCCAAGATTCATTTGGAGACAGCCAAAGGACTTCAAAACCTTTAATTAAAAACTTTTTGCTGTCTTTGAAACATGCAGAATAGCACGGACACACCAATAGCTTTCAGTGGAGCTTAATGGACACACTCTAAAACATTTGTGGAAGCAATGCAGAATAGAGAGCTATGAGCAGTGTGTGCACTCACTAGGTTCATGGGAATTAATGGATTTTAAGGCTAAGCATGTTCTTTTTTACCATCCAGTCTTGGTCTCCTCTGTAATCAAACAACTTCCAAGAGAAGTTTTTTGCTGTAATGATAGTAAATGTGTTTTAATTAATTTACAATCACTTCCTAGAGAAGATTTTTGCTGTAACAATAGTAAATGTGTTTTAATTAATTTACATTTTTTAGAAAAATTTCTAATCACAGCTTGAGTGTTTCTGTGATGAACAGTCAGTTACAAGCCTTATTAGGTCATTCAAATGGCTAATTATCCTAGCTGTTGAAAATGCATGGCTTATTTCCAAGTGGAATTTGTCTATCTGCATCTTCTAGAGAAGATTTTTGCTGTAACAATAGTAAATGTGTTTTAATTAATTTACATTTTTTAGAAAAATTTCTAATCACAGCTTGAGTGTTTCTGTGATGAACAGTCAGTTACAAGCCTTATTAGGTCATTCAAATGGCTAATTATCCTAGCTGTTGAAAATGCATGGCTTATTTCCAAGTGGAATTTGTCTATCTGCATCTTCCAGCCTTGGCATTTAGCTGTAAATGTGTCAGTTAAG